ACTGCCATTATAAATCGATATATATTGCATAGAAAACATTCACGAAAATATTCTTTCTTGTACTGTGTTTTGTGACAAATAACGCCTTCTTTAAATTTTATACTTAAAAAAGGGTATCTTTCGATTTTAAAAAAGGTTCTAAATTGCCCTAATAATTTTGAAAACTACCGACTGTCACACTTGAATTCAAGGGTTCGAAACTGCAAGTTGTGTACATCCTGTCTAGGAGAAATCACGCATGTCTCTACACTATGAGGAAAAGGACGCATCGTTCTCATAAAAATTATGCAACGGATGTGGATCATACCGCATACATTATAGGGAACATTAAAAACTGAATGAACGTTTCACAGTTGTAAAAAGTCTCCTAAGTAGAAATTTTTGTAAAACCAAAATATACCCTTCCTTTCAGCTCAGAAAATCGTAAGTTGCCACCAAACGAGTACAAGAAAAAATGGCTATGTGTATGCTTTTTATAAAATATGTATGAATTTATAAGGGCAATGAAAATCAATGAGTCAGATGCATACTACCTTAAAAGCCATTTTTTTACAGAAGTAGAGGGAAGTAGAGGGAAGTTCTTTAAAAAGCTGGCATCCCGGCCTGACTGAATTGACTTGAGATAATCAGTATTGCAACCCTATTTAAAGCCGGTTTGCGAGCCATTATTAAGCTTTTGAAAATTTCCGAATTTTGCATGAAATACCGACCGTATTGTACATACGTACTTTTAGTCAATGTACTGTTTGGTAGCTTATGCTGTAGGTCGAACTAAACTTACTAGAGTTCAATTTCTTCATAAACTGTCAAATATATGGGCTTCTCTGAAGAGCGCTCCGGCTTCAACCGAAAGTTAGAAGTATCGCTGATAATCAGGAAGAACTTTAGAGTCCTCATCTGCAACTCCAAAAAAATCGTCGTCTAACGTCAACGGAAGGGTAAAAGGTCTGCCCTAATGAACGGGGCTTTGGTACCAAGACTTATAGAGCAGATCTAGATTACTTGGACTGTCGGTATAAATGTTGGTTGGAATTCAGTTGACGAAGGTATCTCACAATCAGCTGTCAAGCAATCTACCACTTTCCTGATTCAACTTTTTTTAATTTCCTGAGATAGTCATTTCTATTCGCGGTATACATCAGTATATTTAAGGTCTATAGGTGTAGACCGAAATTGTAAGTGTATATTT